CTGCCACATTCCACCCCTCTATGGCCTGCCACTCCACTCCATTTAAGTCCCGAAGACAGAGTGTGCATTTTCACTCCCCACGTCTGCTCCTGCTGTGCCCGCAGCCTGAAATGTCCTCTCCCCAGTGCGCAACGCCACCTCATGCACACTCCACAGCTCGAGTCTGATGCCACCTCCCACTCCCCTGATTTTCTGAGGAAGAATCTTCTGTTATTAATCGATGAGACAGGAAATACACACTTGTTACAACTTTTCAAATATACATTCTTTAATGTTTCCAGAGTATGTATCTATGGAAAACCTTGAGGTTAAGATGATTAACCTCATATATTAAATAATTATGATGCAAAAACAGCAATTAAAATAGTCCTTAACTACCATCTTTTAAGTGTCTTAAAACAAATTTTGAACCACCAGGAAAGCGAACTTTCTCACAGCAATATTGAATGTTATTAAAAGCATACTCCATCTTACCATTAACTCCACTGAGTTACTGCTTTGGAAGGTGCACGGTGATGTTGGGACACTGTAGATCACAGAAACCCAAGGTGGTCAGCCACCTAGAGGAGCAGTGTGCCAACATCCTGAACAAGCATCTGAAGTGTAGCCAGGTGCACATCCTCTTCAACGCCTAAGCAGTTCTCGCATTGTGCTAGGACACACTATGGTGCCCACAGACTCTACTGAGTTCTGAGAAACAGGGCTGCTCCGCACTGAATCCACTGGTCTTGGTCGCTGCCGCATGGAACGTCAATGTTGGTCACCACACGCTCCCTTTCTGCACTTGTGTAAACTGGCAGAGAGATGCACTCTTCGGGGGAGTAGGGGCCATATGCACCCTGTTGAAGGAAAGTTTGAAAGTACAGCAATGTATTTTAAAGGGCATTCATAGGTAACTAAAAAACAAAGATAAACCTGCAGATATTCTTTAACATTACGAAACACAAGGGCTGGCCAAATAACTCAGCAGATTAAAGCGCCCGAAAGTAGACTCAGAGGCCAGGGGTTCGATTCCTGGGCCTGCTGCACTGGGCACGTCCCGGGGGTTCGCTGAGACTGCAATTGAGACTGGGCGTGGTGGCGTGCACCTGTAATCCCAGCTCTTGGGAGGCTGTAAACAGGCGGATAACTCTTAGTCCGATCTAGCAGTGAGACCCTGAATGCCCTGTAGACCCTTCCCTAAAATACAAACAAACAAAACCCCCCACAACTTTAAAGTAAATGTGATAAACTGCTATGACATCTCTACGATACTTGGACATGGGCTGTCATACTTCCTACACAACCAAATCCTATAAATGATCATTTCTAAGCAAACATAATTCTCTAATATCATCAAATTTCCATTATCCCTACTTATACCTTATAGTTTATTGCTGTTTCTTAAATATCACAAACCGTAGTTTCTTTCTCCTTTTTTCCTATCCATTCTTCTCGTGACAAGAACTGTACTACATTTTGGGTTTATGGTTGTACCCCACAGTGTCACATTCCCGTGTCCCTTGTATTTCTGTACATCGGATCTAGAGGCAAGCTGTGATTCACTCACTAACAAGAACCCTCCGCAGCTACTGTCCGGAGTGCCCATCGGGCACACACCGCCTGCTGTCTGCCCTGCACGCTCTCTTCACCTCACACAAACGTGCACACAGACACTTTTCTGAGTATTCAGGTCCTTGATAAAAATCACATAAGCTCCTCTGATAAATTATTCACTCCTACCACTCTTAAATCTTAACCTGAAGTACATAAAGCAAATTTTATTCTCTAGGTAGAATCACCCCCCAAGTTGATACAAGCATCATCCTTCCTGATCTTACCAATCATCCTTGCCTGCATCAATGGCTTTTAGTAATTCAGGTACCCACGTAGCAGCATTTTGTATGCCAACATTTAGGCCTAAAACTGTGAAAGCCTGAACTTTTCAGTATATACAAATAAAAAATAATGTTCTTTATACTTTAAAATTCAGTTTGAGAAATAATATACACACATATTTAGAGTGTAATTTTTGGGAAAATGTGTATTTTAGAAAAATCAGAGCAAAACAAATACCACTCTAGAATCTGTCAGCTGAATACTCCTAGAGAGAAACAATCCCAATTGGGCTGCAAAAAAATGGAGGGAGTGGAGTCAAGAGAATTTTCAACCATTATCGGCCACTGACTAATCTCTTCCTTCTCCAGTTCTGCTTAAACAGTAACACTTTAGGATACAAACATTTTGGTAACAGACATAACTCCTTCACCTCCTAAGGTGGATGATCAAGTGCAGGCTTTCTTCTACAGTTGTCCAGATTCTTTAGTCAAAAACAGACAAACAGCACATACTTGCCACACTGCAGTGACATAAACCTGTGCGTGGTGGCTTTTAGTCGCGGGAAAGGTCTAAAATCATCAATTTCTGCCACCTGCCATTTGCTTCGCTCTCCATTCCTTTATCAAAGATGAAATAGCATGGTAACAGTCTGCAATGCTCTTCCCTTCTACTGAGGAGACCGTGTTTAAATCTCTTCACTGTAATGCCAAGAAAATTGTCCTTTAACCGAGGAACTTAATAAGGCACGTTCATTTTGTGCCTTCTTTCCAAATCCTTCTGCAGCTGCTTGCAGCTGTAGGCTTTCTTTGCTACAGTGAAGCCAAATCTGTGTCTCAAAGGCTAGTATTTCAAAGGAAAACACCACAGAGGCTTCCTGACATGAGACTTTTTTGTCATTTTTTACAGTCTCTGAATTGGTAAATATTCTTACTTTTGTAAAAAAAGTTGAGTGGACTTGTTGAGAATTCACCAGTAAATGGTCAGAACAGAAGCAGAGCTGTTTTTAATTCTTCACTGAATGTAATACTTAGGACCCTATTCTCTCTTTCACTCATTTATCTTAACAGGCAAAGCATAAGCCTCGGCTGGGCTAAAATATTTGGATAAAATTAAAAAGGTATCAACTACTAGCAAATACATTGTTAATACAAAAGACTTCAAATAATTTTCTGTTGATTTAAAAACAAAAAGTTGTCCCTGAAAGAAAAAACAGTACATATAAATAAAATTTTGTGTACCTAAAATTTAATAATTAAAATCTATATATTATGATTATAGTAGTTAATGTGGTCAAATACCATAATTTTATGGTACAATGTAGAATCTAGTCCAGTTGGATCACTTAATAAGCTAAAATTTGACACTGTATATGCATTTGGGCCAATCAGCTTTTCATGAGCAAAAATTATGTAGAGACATACATAGCACACAATTCTTCTGCTTCAGTAAATTTTCCAAGAAAAGTATGAATATCTCACAACAAATGCTCTAGGAAAAGGAAGTGAAAAGTTCAGGTATTCTATAAATAATAAGCAATATGCTAGTAATTTGAAAGAAACAATACATTTTATGAAGGGAAAACATATTAGATACGACTTAAGTCAACAAACCAAAGGAGGAAACAAAAATAAAATCACAGAAAGCACAACTACCGGCTCCCGAGCTCCTGCGGAGGCCCAAGCCGGGTCTCCCGAGCGCAGTCCACGCTGTGAGGCTGTGCCCCCAAGTCAGGTGTGTAGGCTGCATCTGGACGGTGGGCGGGGGAGTTACTAAGAGTTGTACGGTTGGTAATTTGGGGAATTCTGAGTTTTTAATTGAAAAATATTCAATAAGGAGGAAATACTGTATTAATAAATTTATTTACTAAGCCACTTTTCACAGAGAACTAGTGTGGACTATCTAAAAACATTTTGGGAAGCACTTTGGCAAAGTTAGTGCTTGGGGGGCTGAGTCCCTGCTGTCTTAAGCTGACTTGATGTCACCGGCAGCCCCGAGCTGCACCAACATCGAGGCACTGCCGCATGCTTGAAGGTCTCAGCCAGCAGAATGAGGGTGCGGCAGGCCTCAGGAACAGACAGCAGGGCGCACAAACTAGGGAAACCACCAATCGGCATTTCACTACTTGCAGTTCTCCTTGAGAATTTCTAATTCTAATTTGTAGTATTTTATCCAAATTTATTAAAAAATTCTGCAGGTTCTGCAACGAAGCAACCGCAAGAATGGAGGCAAAACGACCTTTCTGCTGGCTTACAGGAATTGACGTTCGCTTACAGAAACTGACGAAGATCCAAGTGTACAGGTATGGAGGTCTGCATCTCATCTACACTGTTCTTCAAAGTCACCAAACCTTTTTCTGCTTCAACCTCTTAAAAATGTAAAGACTGATTAATGCTCCTGCACTGCTAAAAACCTGGCACCCATGGCTCCTGCACCACAGCCCTCCCCCCGCGGTTCGCACTGTTAGGTGGCTCTGTTTCAGGGCGCACGTTTGAGAGACCTGGATTTGAATCAGTTGTCTGTCTGTTAACTGTATGATATCAGACATTTTAGATAATCTTTTTCTTTATCTTGTCAGTTTAAAAAGAAGACTCCTATTCCAGAACTTTGTGAGGTTATCCTGTAAGCACCCTGAACAGTGCCTTGGACATAACAGGCTCAAATAAATGCTGATCAATAGTCACAGACTGATACAGCCTTTGGTACTCATAATCATTTTATTTAATGCTCAAGTCTCTTTCTCAACAAGACAAGAAAACCTGCTCAACCTAAATCACAGAGCTGCTGGTAAAGCCAAGTACAGCGGAAATTCACCATGCACCACTCCACTGATTTTCTAAAACTACAAATCTGGTCTTGTAGCAGAAAGTGCCCCTCCCCAGCCAGTGTACCTCAGCTTCTGTTAGTTGCCCAGGTAACACTTCCTGTCACTTCTGTTTCTTAGAAACAGCTGCTCACTCTGACGCATACTGCAAGAACCAATCAAGGACAGCCAAGTATCTACCCCTCTGCTTCCCCTTTCAACCCCATGAAAACCTCCCTCCCTAAAGCTTTCAAGGCCTGATATTTTGGGAATGATTACAATCAGTGCCCATTGACGTAAACAAATCCACCTCCAAATTCGCGGTGTCATTTCGGTGTTTTCGTTTGCTGCTGCATCTTACCATGCTATCATCCTAAATTCTTAGCGGCCGTCTACTGGCCACAGCGTGACCTGCATTCCTCAGCACTGCCAGTCAGCGGCTCATACTTGGCCTTGGCCTTCCTCTCTGAACCCCTTTCCTGCAAGGCTTCCAGAGGACCCATATGTCCCAGATACACTCTCCCAGCAGTCCCAGAAGAACTTAGTTTCTTTCCTACTCCACGCATTTACACCTGCAGCCCTCTCTGTGTCTTGTCCTCCACCTTTGCCAACCTTGTCCTTAAACTCCATTGCTTCCGTTTTAAGTCACAGCTCAAGAGAGGCTGCCACTGCTCCGTGAGGGGCAGCGCTGACTTGCCCTCAGCTCCTCACACACGGACAGTTGAAGGGTCTCTAATTTGTCAATGCTCTACTATAGAAACCCATATAGCTGTGTTTATAATTATGAACTATAATAGCATCTTCCTCCACTCAAGACTTTCTGGTGGGAGAAATTTATCTTTGTAGTAGCTTCAGTGTGTAGCCTAATATCTTACAAATATTTAGCAGTATTTAATAGTAAAAACAACAGAAAATACTAAAGCACTGTATGAGATAAGGTAATTATATTAAACATTTTTAAAATACTGGCAGTAAGATAGACTTACATTGTGTCAGACAATGTGTTTTTCATAGAAGCTAAGAATACACTAGCTTTGTCCATAACTGCCCTGCATTCCTGAGGTACATTCATTTGTAGTCAGTCAGTTGGTAATTTCTCCAGGTCGCATTCTCCATTTATTCTAGTCATTTTCCATGTTCTATTTTTATTGCTAGGGTTTCTTAGGTAAACTAGTTAATACCCATGCAACTATTTACATTAATTTTATTTGCTGAAGAATT